CACAATTCCTTATATGGATTTACTATCGACTAGTCCTCTGGATGGAAATCTCACGTTTCTTTACAGAAAGAAGTCGTTTATAGCTTTACAGCTTACCTATTGAATGACCTTTACTCTCCAGTTTACATATCACTAGTACAGTTGATGATAACCTTAGCCGCATTAAGGTGATAGATCTCAAAGAAGAGGAAAGATTGGAAGAAAAACAGATTTATATTCTATAGCAATGCAAAGTGTAACAAATAAACTAAGAGATGAGACGTCTATCGATCCCTTCCGTTACAGTTTTCAATCGATGGGAAGTTTCCTCAATCAATATCAGAGTTGCAATAGACGACAGTAAACTAAAATAACATGATAACGAGTTTACCATTATGAGATTTTAGAAAATCGTACGAAACTGTGAGCAGATTTTCCTAAGCATGTAGTCATTCGGCCTGTAGCCTTGTAGTCACATCGACCTGTTCATCGATTATCGGCCTAAAGGGATCATGAAGATCAAACACTGTAGCTATTGCTCATTTATGTAATCATACAAATAATTACTAGTTAAGATTTGTCGCTTTACAACGACAGGTGAACACCTATGGATGTTGAACAACAGTGACTTGTACAGAGTTTCATCCTCTGAAACAGTCATTCCTTCTGTGAAGTTTATCCGCCTTAGTAACCTTGTAAGTCTTAGATCCAAGTAAGAGCTTCTTCGAACCAGAACATTATCTGGACCAACCACGTCCCCTGAGTGGTTGACAACTCCTTGATAAGTGGAGCATTTGAGTAGTTGTGAACTTAAACAACTTGCTGCAATGAAGGGAACATTGTCCTATCGCTACAAGTTTATGCAGGATTCTTTTTTGAAATATCAATTTTGTTCCAAAACTATTTCGGGCTCGAAAGGATGGGGTAAAGTGGATAGCGGTAAATAGCAACTATAAAAAAATGAGAGGTGTAGCGCAGTGGTTACTTATGCAGTCCACCAGGAAGCAACTTTCTCGTTCGACCTTCTCCCAACGCTCTTCTCCAATCTAAGTAAGAACGCCTTAGCTCGGATATCCTCAAGATTTCAAGGAGAATCGACTCGACCAGAATTCTATGACATTCGTGAAGAAGACGAAATCCTCAAGCAGCAGCCGAAACAACACGCGAAATGTACGAAGACTATTGTCGAAGTTGGTTGCGAGGAAACGAATCGAATACAAAAGTGCTGGAATCTGTATCTGCACAGTAGGTATGATAAACGATCATTTAAAGTGCTAAAAAAATAAAATAAAAGAGCATGCATCACTCAGCGTTGATCAATTCTTCAGGGATGCACCGTCTATTCGACATCGTCAAGCATCGGTGATTGAATGCATAGCTGGTCTTTACAATAACTCGTGATGGCTTACCAGTGTATCGAGCAGTGCTGTTCTCGTTCCAGAGAGTCTGGTACTAATTTGCTGACCTCGATGGGATGGAAGGCTTAGTGAGTCTGGGGCGCGGGATCGATCCCCTGTGTATTTCAGGGTGTCTCTAACCACTGCGTCACACGCGCTTATAAAAACCACCAGAATCTACAGAACACTGCTTAGAAGATGCAAATTACCTTACTTTACCAACATCAGCTTCTGATTTTATGGAGCCTATGGCACATATTTCTTTTCGTTTCTTTCTTTTTGTATCAAAGCCCGTATTTTATTCACGAAGGCAATTTTGAACAAGCAGGATTTTATTAAGCAGAACAGGTTGGTGTTCCCTAATGTATTGTTTACTTTTGCAGCTGCCGTTCTAGCGTTGAAGATTTTAGAAATCCGAATCTTGTTTGCAATTGTTAGTACGCATTGGTGTCAATTCAGAGTTTTTAAAGATAATAGACGTGCAGTGCAGTGATGCTCATTTTACTTTTCGTTTTCCTTGAAAGATATTTCCTTGTATGATTTGAATTTACCACTTTTCTCACAATTAAAGGACTAAAGGTCTTGCCTTGATCTATCCTTGAGGGAGACGCCATGCATTCAACTCCATTCACAGCTGTGGTGAATGAATCCATGTGTGACTGGCTAGGGTCTGTATGAAGCCAGTGTTTTTGTCCTCCCAGGTAAGTTTGGTTGCAATTCGTTGACACCCCTAAGAGACGGAGGGTTTGATTAGCTTTGGTGAGAGATTGAAACAGCGAGTACGTGAGTGCTTCATAACACTTCTAACCGCTGTGCTACACTCGAATATAATACTAAGAATTAGTTATTATTTGTACTTGCTACGCAACGTTGTTAATTCTGCCGATTATGCTATGCGCGATTTCCAAAAATGAGAATCAACTCCGAGCAATGTCGAAGCGTGATTTTTCCAGAGATATCTATCTTTCGACATGTTTGTGAATCTCATTGTTCGATAAATTCGTAGAGAACCAGTTTTACACGAAGCAAAAGCCGGTCAGCTACCCGGTACACTATTATTTATAACATCGTCGACAACATCTATTACCGAACAAGGTCATATCCATCTCTGTGCTCATTATGGCACTGAATATAATCCACAGAGCGACGGAAGCCATCAGAATTCCAAACTACTCTTGTCTAAAGGAGGTAGACAAAGCCTGAAAACCGATCGTTGACTTTTATATGCGATTTCCTCTTCGATCTCTCCACTGGTCTTCTTTGGTGTGATTATTAACCGCTGGTGCTACCTCGGGACATTTCATAATAAAGATATTCAGAAAGTGTTGCTGTTAATAAAGAACAGCTGATCTTTCCACTTGTTACTCCAGCTCGGAATGGATTTGCTCAGACGTTCTCCTATGCCTTTGCGTTACGAATAATCACTATGGTAGAGCATCTGTGTTGGTGCTGTGTCATAAAGCTTACACCGTAATAAAAAACAAAGTTTTTTCCACATGTACTGTCTTCAGAGAAGGGTCCGAGGCGATATTCGTTTAGTATCTGTCGGCTTATTGGGATGGTGAATGGGAATTTCATCTACACTATTACCTACAGGGTTTAGTTGATGATTTATAATTCGCTACATAACCAGTCCTTTCTGTGTATCTGGTCTTCATTTCTGAAAAAAAGAATGAATGACCGATGGAAAAAATGGCCCCAGCGAACATGAAATGTCCACACTCCCGAAAGGTTAGCAATTGTGAACGAAACTTTGTATTCACAACTTCGTATCAGTTTACAGCGAATAATTCGTAAAAGCATAGTAACCAATCGATCAACACGTTGTCCATGAAATATGATAATGTTATTGATCTATCAATAGATAGACCTTTTGGAACGGCAAAGGGACTCGTTTCAGATGGGTGCTATGTCGAACTGGCCAGCGAGAAATGATCATCGTGTTAGGCTTTTCGCACAACATTTAATGTATTTTAGAGGCTAAACTAAGAAAACTAAGAAATTCAGAAAAAAACTTGTTCAGGCAGTTCAATATAACACTAATACATATATATATATATATATATATATATGTAACGATCAGCGAAGGTCTCTTTGATTACTTCTAAATTAGGTGCGCATGCGGCGTAACGGCTAGCGGTGCTTTGGACCACTTACCCAAATAATAGTTGGTTCCATCTTCAGGCTGACGAAGTCCTCCACTTTCTCTGGGATCGCCGAATTGGTGCAGGATTTGTCTGACACATCAGCGGGCCTCTATTAGCCAACTTTCTAAAGTTTTTTTTACAGTTCTTCGAACCTTTTATTGATCCAGTACATCAGTTTACGATGTTTTATTTGACGAATCTCGGTCCATAGTTATTTTCGGCTTTTGTGATTGGTTGTGTATGGAATTGGATTGGGGTCGATCGTGGCGGTATAAGCGCTGGTCGGAGGCTTTGCATGGCTGGCTACATCACAGCGAACATAGTGGAGGCGTGACCGTATATCCATCCTCATTTGCTTCAGTTCTCACAAATTCAGCTAGATGTTATTCTACAACCTTATCGTCATTCTCCTACCTATCATCATCAACTCTCAGGTGACTACTTGTTAGGCCTCACGTAATAACGACGATAAGCCTCAACTGTACTTGAATGTGCCTTTCACTGCCCCGATCACACTGACCTCGTTCACAGTGAATCATCATGATCATGAGAATTTATGGCCTAAGTGAAATGCAAACAATTAGAGCGTTTTTCTAAAAAAAAACTATTTGTAAAAAACAAACTATGTGCTAAATTATAGTCTTGCTTTCTTGTTTATTCAATCAGAGATCGTTTGTGAAGATGGAAGAAAGTCAGTTTTGCAGCACTTTGAGTTCACATCCAATTTGCTACAATGACATGGAAAAGGCAAAATTTGATGTTTGAGCTGAACATCCTATATTCTTTTTTGGCAAAAAAATGTTAAGGTTTAGTTAATAGGGGTTGGACCCAGTAATTCTTGAATTATAACCTAAGCTGGTAATTTAAGTCGGATCAGGTGATGATTGTTTTACAATTGCTAGTAATCTATCTGCATTTAAAGAATGGACCAGTACACCCATAAGTTACAAGTAGCAATTAAAACAGCAGCAGCTACTTTTTCTTCTTCCTTGACCTCACACTACTAACTTTTGTAGATCCACGAATTTTCCATATAATCGGGCATCCATACCGTAACGTAACTCCGTTCCAGGATAAATCCATAGAAAATGTCGCAGTGGTATAGACAGTAAGAATTTCAAAAAACTAGCACTTTTGAAAGAGATTTTAAAACAGTAATAATAAAACAATAAAAAATAGAAGAAGATAGACTGGCTAATGATCAGCGTCAAAAGCGTTCATGTGAAATTCTTGAGATCTCGCGAAGCCATTTCATTACTTACTTTATAGCGTGAAGAGATGTTTCTTACACGAAAGACACTACATTCTTATCGCTTTTTTTAGTTGTTTAAGTACCACCCCGATGAATGTTTCAATACGGGTTTTCTCTTTAAAACATGCATGATGCGGCTCTGCTTCAGGTTTCACATCTAGCAACATCCAGACAGCCCAGCGACAACTCGTTCACGACACGTATATTTTGTGTTTTCGATTTCAGATGACTCTTTCACCGTTGATGGGATTTTTACATCCGGATAATGTGCATCGAATGACGGACCTTGCTGTCGAGTTATCCAGTTTAGCAGCTCGTTCGATAGCCAAAAATGAAAAGGATGTTGCGTGGGTGTTTCTACTGCTAAGTTTCGAGTTTTATCAACTGAACAAAAGCACCGAGTGCTCCTTTCTCTCGCTATGACAATACTACACCTTCTCTTTTTTCTTTTTTTCCTTTTATCTAATGCTTTGTAGTTAGAAGGATAAAATTCTCGGTGTTGATCTATCTCTGGGGGAAGCGCCCACGCATCCGACTTCACTCTTAGCGTCATGATGGTAACTGAATATGTTTCCTCAACGCTGTGACTTAAAGCGGTCTACTGACGTGTCACGTCAATACTGGTATGCTTCCAAATAAGTGTGCGGTCAATTTGCTTACCCTTGAGAGACCGAAGGTTTGGTAAGCCCGAGGTGCGGAATCCAACAAAGACAATGTGTTTAGCCAGAGTAACTCCACCCACTGCGCTATACGCGCTCCTTCGCATAGTTGCCCATCAGATAATTTCAAAATCGCTGACTGGTTTTTGTCTACTAATATTATTTGTAAATTTAGCATTAATTTGAGTGGGTACAGCCAAATTTCGTTTCCCTTCTCTTGAAGTCAGAAATGCTCGTTCACATCACACGAACACTATGTGTTTTGATACTACGACCTTTTTCAGTACTTTTGGCGAGAACGCGGCCATGGGTAACCTTTCAATCTTTATAATTCAAAGATGTATTCTTAGCTCGACTTCTGAAGTTGTATAACTTCTTCTCGATATGAGTTACACATTACAGTTAATTTTTTTAAAGAGAACTGAGCATCGGAGTTCGATAGGCAGGAACAACCTTTAGGTAAGATAGAACTTTCGAGGAATAGTAGGAAAACATGTGGAAGGTTAGATAGAATTGAATACAACTGACGCTAACAGTTTCCAAATTTTAAATGAGTAGCAATTCATTCTCTAAAGGTTCTACTAGTTCCCAATTATACTAAGATTATACATATAAACGTTACATGGAACTTATTTCCCCGATCATTTTCCGCTTCTTCGTTTTATCCTCTATATTGTGAAAGACGGCCTCATATAACAAATGAGAACTTTCTCCTTTATTAACAAAAAGGAACATTCCTTTTATAAAACACGCCTTTCTTCTTATTAACATTCTGTTGCGTTTTCCTCTGCGAACACTTTCGATTTCTGGATTCGACTTATCTCAACGATGGTGTGGTTGCTTCATTTTCGATTCGATTTCATCGGCTTATAATCGCAGCTCATAATCGAACTTGTCTGCTGAAGATCCATAAAGATTTCGTCATTTTCCTGGGAAATGAACAAAAATCACCGAAAAATCCAAAAATCCACTATATAACAATCAATCGATCTTTGTTTTTTTGTCATTGTTTTAACGTGAACGCATAGGCTCAGAAACTAGTTTCTTGCAAACTGCTAACAATTTTTGGATAACTGGAATATCCGACGAGTTGGAAAAGTGATAGGCTTATCGTATCTATCAAGTATGCTTCTTCGGAAGCGCTATTTGTCCTATAATTTTACCTGGAATCGAGAGCTCCAAAGGAAGTGAAGACGAAATTTAAAGTTTCAAAATTCTTAACAAACTAATATCAAGAGTGCGTATTGGACACCACCATGTTCTAATAAACGAAATTACCTTTACTTTCAAATACGAAACTCGCAGGAAAAAAATCGAATTGCATAAAATACTCTTGCTCGGCCCGAGAAAATCAAAATTAAAGCAGAAGATCATAATTCCCGTAGGAGAAGAATAATGGATTCAGATTTCTTCTATTGCAATAACTAATACTTGCTTCAAACTGAGGTATACTAATATAAAGTTGAAGGTGGCCGTTATTTCTGCACTACATGAATTGAAATCAACTCAAGTTGACCCTGAGTGCTAACAATAGGGAGGTTTCACGAAAATGATGTGGTAATATAAGTTACCTATGTTCGCACTAAATTTATGCAAAATTGATCGAGATATTGATTTCTTCTAGTATATGGGCATGTTAAGGGCTCGTGTGGCGCAGTGGTTGGAGGTGCCACTGCGACACACGGGGAATCGATCCCCGCGCCCATGGCTCACTAAGCCTCCCATCCCTCCGGGGTCGGCAAATTGGTGCCAGACTTGTCTGGGAGGATAGCAGCACTGGCTCGATATGTCGGTAGGCCACCACGAGTCATTGTAAAGGCCAGACACGCATTCAATAACCTCCAACGATACTTAATGCATGGCGCGTCCCTCAGGGATTGATCAACGCCTACAGCTTTACCCTTTTTTTTATCCTTTATGGGCATGTCGGTATTCCAGTTTATGGATAAAATACAAGCGTTTCGTTTCAGTAAAACAGTAGAAGAGCCACGAGAAATCCCGCTAGGTGAAGCGCGACCATCTGAAATACTTGGACAAGGTGAGTGTCCGATCGCAAAGCAATAACTGTTACTAAGGCATTATGAAGTATAGACTTTATAAAAAAATAAGGTCTTAATTCTTGTGTAAATCTAATATGACCAGTTAATAACCTATCCTCTTGAATAAGAGTTTTTTCTGCATCATCATGTGTTCTCTTAAAAACACCTATGGACGATATGTTTCACGACTTTTAGCCGTATCCGATATCACCACTCAATCACGAATGTCGTTTCTGAAGGCGTTTGCTCCACTTGAACACACTACATCTGGTACAGATGCCATTTCCTCTACAACGTCAACGTTATTAACGACGACAATCAGCGACCTAACTTCAGTCCCGCCGTTTCATGAAGGTTTTTAATCGTTTGGTGCTTCGTATTTCATTTACTTACAGATTCTTTCCGATGCTTCATGGTTTCACAAAAGTGCCGTTAATCATATCGAGCTCATTAGCGTTTAACATTATTTAGCATGCTAATATAAATAAAGGCGGAGATAGCGCGATGGTTAGATATGTCGTCCAACATGGACGTGATCTCTGTTTCGACTCCAAATCGAGCCAGCAGGGCCACTCATTCTTCTGGTTTCTGGACAAAGTCCACTCCTATCCACGAATGCCAACGACCACTTATGCTGGAGACCTGAGCTCTTCTAACCCACAATTCCATGGAAATCAATTCAACCAGCATTCGACGACATTCATGAAGAAGACGAAGTCAAAACAACGAAACGAAACTGCTTGCATCAGAAAAACCTGTGAAGATGGGTCAGATGAGAAAATTGTTGCTACTCCACTCTTCAATTAGACTTCAATAACTATTTCTATTAACAGGGGTTAGCACAGTGTTAATGATGCCGGTCATCACGAACACGGTGCTGGTTCGACCTCTCTCCAGGCTCACCAGGCCTCTCATCCTTCCGGAGTCGGGAAAAATCACTTTCTGCAATCTACTTGGAAACGCTCCAGCCCAGCTATCTCAGGACTCCAGTGAAAAACGATTCGACCACCATTCTAAATCATTCAAGATAAAATGAAAATCCTCAAGCAGCAGCCGAAGTCACACGTAAAAGTTGCAAGACCTTCGTGGGTGACGTATGCGAGGAAATGAACTGAATGTGAGGATTGCTGCGATCCGGACAACGTGATGACGGGTCCTATAAAAAATGGTCTACTTACACTTGAAAAAATCACACTTACAAACAGAATGTTTTCCACTTGTGAAGATGTAGACGTTTATTTTAGATTGAAATACTCAATTTTTTCAACATCTATATTTGCAAGAACAAAACCCAGAGACTTTCTTCGTGTATTTTTTCTTAATTTATATTTTTATTACACTTTTACGCCTTTCGTTTTGTTTCTGCATTGTTTTATTCCATATTTTACTTCTTTTGTCGTTCATTTCAATATGAGACAGTGCAGTAGAAATGCAATAAGGAAGTTGTTTTTCCCATACCGAGATTTTCGCACCAAATTTTACAAATTCGTTAAACATACGTTTATAATATATGATACTAGGGGCTGGTTATCATAGTGTTAGTGATGTCGATCATCACGAGCACTGTACTGCTACGATTTCGCTCCGGGCTCACTAATCCTCTTATTGCTCTGGAATCGATCGGGAAAGTGATACCGGGCATGTCTAGGGAAAATTCACTCTCTCCACTCCAATTGGGAAGGCTCTAGCGCACCTATCTCAGGATTCAGAGAGAATCAACTTGATCAGCATTCAACGACATTCGTGACGGAAGGAAAATCCTCAAGCAGCAGCCAAAGCCACATGTAAGAAGTTGGAAGACCTTGTTAGATGACGGATATGAGGGAAAGAATCGAATGCGAGAAGTGCTGGCGTCGGCTCAGTAGATGTGAAAGATGAATCATGTAAAAGCAATAGATAATATTAAATCAATGAAATAATAAAGTTGGGCGTATGGCGCAGTGATCGGAGACCCCCTGCAACACAAATGGGATTGATGCCAGCCCCCTGGCCCACCAAGTCTTCCATCTTTCCGCAATAGGCAAATTGGTACCAGACTTGTCTGGGAGGATAGCAGCAGTGGCTCGATACATCTGTAGCCCACCGCGAGTCATTGTAAAGGCCAAATATGCATTCAATAACCTCCGAACGATGTTTAATGAATAATGGCGAATACAAGGCGCATTTCTTAGCGATTGATCAAAGCCGAGAGTTTTATGCTTTATCCCTTAAATCGAAGCGCTTTCTATCTTCTGACAATGGTGAGCTTAAATGTCTCTGGCACATCGTCTTAATTCTCCTTACACCGTCCACGCACGGTCCGGCAAATAATCGCTGGGTTCGTTCGCGTCGAGAAGCCAGAATTTCCAGAGAATTAAAGTATCTTCTAAAATGGTGAAAAGGATTCGAGAGAGAAGAGGAACACACCTCTAAAGGATAATCTTTACAGAAATCAACAAAGCTTGACGACTACCAGTGATGAACATCTGGGAATGTTCTAAATGAGCCACCTTGAAATGATAACATAAATCACGCTTGATTAGCACGCAACGCATCAATAAAAATACGAAAATTATTAGTTGCAGTTTTTGGGGTGATTTCAAGGCAATGAAACGAACCCATGAAATGCTAGGATTTGCGCCAGATGTGAAAACTAGGCATTCTTTTGTCCAGTAATCTCTTTACCCCATAAGCAAAACGTTCGACTGAACGAGTACCAGTTCTGACTGCTGGCAGAACCATTCATTTTCCTTTGTTTCGTTATCCTCTCACTTGTTATATCTTCATTGGTTGACCATCGACTTATTCGAATGGAAGTCTTCCAGAGAAATCAGAAGTGGTGTAGTCCGGATCGTTCGTCATCCCTTCAAACCAATCACATTCGTTCGACGTTTTACTGACTTTATGGTAAATGGCATATTACAATTACACTGTGACTAAATTCCACACGGACCGTCTAGTTTATTCATGTTAAAACGGACATTCTTCACCGAAAAGGTTTTCCATGTCTTAACAGCATAACAACTTTTCTATTCGTCTGTGAATAAAACTAAAAGGATAAAGCTCAAGATCAATCCCTGAGCGATGCGCCATGCATTCGACTTCATCAAGTATAGTTTGGAGGTGACTGAATGCTCGTAGTCCACCGATTCATCGAGCCAGTAGTGCTGCTAACCTCACAGACAAGTCTGGTACCTATTTGCTGGCCCCGGAGGATGGAAGGCTTGGTGGGCCATAGGCGCGGGGATCGATTCCACGCGTGCGTTACTGACTTCTCCAACCACTACGCCATACGCGCCCTGTCGTCTGTGAATATGTATGTTAATGTATCTACTTGCAAATGCATTTTACATACTTTAGGTGCTCGATCACTTAATATCAAGCCAATAAAGCCTTTACCACAATGTGAGTTTTTATTTCTCTCGATTTTAAACCTACTGACATTCCTAAATTTCCTCCCACATTTCCGTGCATCAACTATAATCCCTTAAATCGTCAAGTCACTCGAGCCGAGAGGTATAAGGTCTCCCTCCGTTCCTTTGATGCTCTCGACCAATCCAAGGAGCTTAGCTCTGTTGGGAACGCAAACAACATCACGTTTTTCGTGAGAGACTTTTATTTTTGCCTTTTTGCCATTTATATTGAGAAGGTGGACACTAATAAAGCGCACTGAGCTCTGCTGTTAGACTGGAGGTTGGGGAGTGTTGGACTCATCGTTGATCCTCACAAGAGAGACAATGAAGCCACCTTCCGAATTTGCCCTCGCCCTACGGCAAATACATGATTGTTCCTTGTTTCCGTTTAATATTTCCTGCCTTCTATTCTCGGGACATCTAATCTTAAAAATAGTCGGCTTGAGATGCTCATATAAATGTTTTTGAAGAACTGAACGCCATTTTTTCAAATTTTAACCGTATAGAATAAACAAACCCGTGTTTTAGCTCCCACTATCTCATTTTCAAAAGTTCGCTATGCTCCTAAAGTTGAAATTGGTGTACCGACGTACTTGGAGAACTCAATAGAATCAACACAGCCAAATCATGTTAAGGTTAGTTCATAGTGGTTGCACTTCACTTCATACCCTGCCGTGAAAAATAATAATAGACAGTAAGTAAAAAGTTAGCATTATGATTATTATTATTATTTTAACCCCACAATATTGTAGGTTAAATTGGGTTAACTGTCTTTTAATTGGCGAATGCTCTCCCACAAGGATCTCGGGTTCCTTGAAGAAGTTCTACCCCATTTATTTGTGATAAACATGATGAGGCGCGCAGATAGGAAAAGCTCCATACTCGAAGTCGTTTGTTCTGTGAAATTTTAGGGAACCAATTTTCATGCTGCAGAATAGGATCAATCTGATCGAGTAATGACAACCGTTCCTTCGATCAATATTGCAATCATTGCTCTGATGTTTGTACAATGCTGTTTGGGTGGCATATTTCCACCTATTGTATCAGTTCCCCGGATTAACTTTCTATTAACCTCGGCATTGGATTATAAATGCGTCGTTTTTTGTCTCAACAATCGCGAGGTTGTTATACTCGGCGATTGCTGAGACAGAAAAGGATGCATTTTTATCTACATTTAAAAACCCGTAATGGGCGCGTGTGGTGCAGTGGTGGGAAGCGTAATACTCACATGGGATCGATCCCCGCTCAACTGGCCCACCAAACTTTCCATTCCTCCGGGTTCGGCAACGGCAACTGGTACTAAACTTGTCTGGGAGGATAGCAGCAAGAGCTCGATACATCGGTAGGCCGACGCGAGTCATTGTAAAGGCCAGATATGCATCCAATCACCTCCAAACTATGCTTATTGAAGTCGAATGCATGGCGCATCCCTCAGGGATTAATCAGGGCCGAGAGCTTTACCCTTTTAACCTTTAATTGAGGACACCGACCACCAACCACCGAGTAGGAGAACTTCATCCTTCAAGGTTGCAAATTCGCCTTGTGATATATCATTACTGTTCATAAACATCCAAACACCAAGCTAAGCACGTGGAGTACTGATTTTTACCACAAGTGAAAACTTTATTAAAGGGTTTTTCTCTGCTACTTTAAGTAAGCAACAAGTTGTTCATTTCCTAGTGCAGCAATTTATACCTGCATTGAGATAAATTAGTAGCTGCAAGAAGTTTTCTGACTATTCTCTTAGCTGCTTAAGCCGAAAGGGAGTTGTCCTGTTCTAAACTCCTAACTTAACTGCTAGTTTTCAAACAGCCAGTTTACTATACGACCACTTGAAAGATGTCTTGAACTTCTCAACATTAGCAACACTCTTTGAGATCCCACGTTGTTTTCACGAAGATTTCTAAATGTCTCAAATCTCACAAGAAAACAAACCCGAGAAAAAAGATCACCAAATAAATACCTGCTTAACAAAAAAGAATAGTTCGTTCAATTATTCACCATATATCACGTTTTTTCCAGTCATGAAATAGAAACGAGCAACTTTCAAGATTCATTTCAACTTTGATGATTCATTTAGAAGAACAGATAAGAACGTGTGTAGACTGTCTTTGCGCTGACGACGCATGGTTGTAACACCTTTCCTAATTCTCATTAGCTAACCCTTCGGTGTCCTCACTTTCTTGAAAACCTGTATACTCTTACCCGGTGTACAATTCTGAAACTTTGATAAAAAGTAACCAAAGCGAAAACATCAACCCTTGTAGAAAGCACTCAATCAAAAATTGTGCAATCAACTATGGCGACTCAAAGTATTCTGATGTTTAAAACGATATGTAGTCAATCACTCATGAAGTAAACAAAAGCATTTGTTGACTAAACTGAAAAACGTCTGATTTCCCTCATGTTGGAAAACCGGACATTCGAAACTGGGCCACCATACTAAGGGAAAAACGCGGAATGCTTTTCTACAACATTTGGCGTTCCACTGGCACCAAACCGGATGCATTCCATTAGCACAAAACCGGATGCAACCCTGCTGGTGAGGCCGGTTTTCTTTCGGGGAGTACTGCTAAAAATTTGGGGCATCTTACTGTTGACACAAATTCTAGGAAAGATTCCTTTGCCAAAATGGACTAAGTTAGAAAATTTCACTTTTTGTCTCGTTTACTTCCTCTGCACTCATTACGGTACTTACTTCATGAATTTCATGTTTCATTTTCGTGTAACCACCAAGAACTGGTTTTCAAATTCAAAAAAGAGAACAGGTCTTTTATGTTCACATCAGGCTTTTGAACTTAACACATATAGTGTAGTGGTTAGAGGTGCCGTTCTTACACGTGGTCGTCGGTTCGATCCCGCTCGCAGCGCAAGTCAAGCTTTTTATCCCTCTGCAGTCGGCAAATTGCTACCAGATTTATGTGAGAGCATAAAAACACTGATTGCTTACATCAATAGACACCAGTAAGCTATTGCGTAGAACAAATGTTTCGCCATCGCCTCTGCGATACTCGATCAAATTGAATGCCTAAGATATCGATCATCGGAGAACACATATTACCATTTTTTGTTTTTATTGAAGTTATCTAACCGTAATATTTAACCATTTTGGTTGCAAGAAATTCTAGTCCGTTGGCGGTATTGTTAATCTTCCATCGCCCGTCATATCCAAACCATTCTCATTGGAACAAAATCCTCTATTCAGACTCGCGTCCACCTTCCTACAAGGTATCAGGAATATTTCAGATTTTGCCACTTCTTTCAGCAAAAGTATTTTGCACCTATGACTTTACAGGTCCATTTGTTATCCTAGACCTTAATGTAGCGATTATCATGGATTTCCTTCATGAAGGGGTCACATGCCGGTTGGTCAAGAGACAACGTGGCGCTTCCTCAGGTGACGGATAGAGGCTCAGTCGCTGAGCAGAAGCGACTTTTGTTTTCCTGAGACGGAAGTGGTTCCAAAGGATGAACTCTGTTTCTGCTGGGCCAATTTCGCACATACCTTGTGTATTCACGAGAGCATATTCATGCATGCGTGTGTGTGTGTGTGCTTTATGACTTATGCGGATTGTATTCTACGGGTCACTTCAGCCAAGAAAGTCTGCGATAAAGTAACAGCGAAGTGTATGGGAGGCGGTTAAGAGTCGGCTACAACAAATAACATCCTCACCTACTTTGCGGGAGAGTGGCAACTTACTCCTGTGTAGGCTCATTCCGCACGTTCAGAGCTCAGCAAACTATACTTGGGCATCAAGCGTTACGTACACGCGATTCAGCAGTGTTGGTAGTATGACTATGGAGAGGCTGCTACAATTTCAGGGCCGTTACAGGCTGCCTGTCCTCCATAGAAGACTTCATCATGCAGGCAAGAAGGATAAGGAGACGTCATCGGACTGGCTGAGACGAGAAGACGCCACCCATTCGACGCCATCTATGACACCGGAGATAAGCTGTTCCTCGGAATACATGATAGCAGAGATGTCGTAGGGATCGGCGTTTTCGTCAACACGAGTTTGTCCATCACGATTGATTCATTCGAACAACGAACAACCCGAATAGGACGTTTACGATTGAAAATATGTGCATCAATACTGGCTTTGACAATATTCGTCGTCTACGCACTAAAATTAAGCTATGACGAAAAAGAAATTGAAACCTTTACTCACGAAAACTCCAAAAGACGGCTCTCGAAACTCAAAACTTGGAACTCCAAACTAGAAAGCAGTCGTACTTCCTGGTTTAGCACTTTTGGTAGTTGTCGAATTCTCGGTGGACGTTACGAGTTCTTTTCCCAGCCTCTGCATCTTCAACCATACGTGCTGTTCTTCTCACTTTAGAATCTTCTTTTATGGTATACCTGCATTGTTTTGCAGGTTCGGACATGAGTTGGCGTTTGCTTGTAGCTCGTGCGATTTCACTTTGACATAGCAGCTGAAGTGTTTCCGGAGAGAGGCGTCTCTTGGAGACTTTTAAACTCTCAGACTTTGCAGCGCTAACGCGAGGATGTTGAATGAGCCGATCGTCTACTTTGTCGATATTATCGAGAATGGCATATTTCCACCAACCGACTGGTGAACTGCATAAAGCCCAGTTCATGGTGGTTTTGAGCACCTCGTTCTTTGAATTCAGCGGCTTTTTCTCCTTTCCGCGGGAATTAAAATCTTGAACGAATGAGGCGATGATCCGATCCCACATAGAACCTTGGGACTGTGGCACCATCGATTAATCAAAACCTTTGATTTACTATGACGTGATATACTTCGTTATGGAGCTCTGCTTTGGGAGGCTCCTACGTCAGGTGTTAGGAGCGGAGCTTCTGGATTTTCGAGTTACCATAAATGGTCTTAATCATCATGATAAATTTAAAGAGCCGCTCATCCTGATCCCTGCATTCTAATGCGTGGGTCCCAATTTGATGCTCTTCAGATGCTACTCTGGGTCAAGTCTTAGCGATAAGATCTCCAATAATCACCTCAAAGAATGTATGGTCTTCTCCGTAGAACTTCTCCAAGTCGATTTAGATTGTTTCGACTTCGTCTTCGTCATAGCTTGGTGTCCCTGCGTAGACGACAAAGATTTTTAAAGCCTGTATTGATCCACATCCTTTCAATCGTTAACGTGCTATTCAAGTCATTAGTTGTTCGTATGAATCAATCTCCATAGCCAAACACGTGTTGACGAAAATATCGATATCGGCGACTCCTCTAATGTCGCTGTTCCTAGGAACAGTTTATTTCCGGTGTCAGAGGCGGCGTCGAATGGGTGACGTCTTCTCGTATCAGCCAGTCCAGGCTTTGAAGAAGACAAAATCCTCCAATACTTCAGTTTGTCCATAAATAAAGAATGAAGCAACAAGCTCGGGTTTTCTCGTCAAGGAAACGGTGAACGATGAATTATTCGATCAGTGCCAATGGTTATTAGAAAACTTGCAGTGGAAATTACTACAAGAATGGTCTTCGACTAAATCTCACAGAAACAATGTTCATAAGGAACGGATTGGTTACGTATACCTCATTCACGCTCAAGGGAATGAATAACTCGTAGGGCTGCAGTTACGCTTATGTGGGTCGTGAAATCAACATGGACGACTTAGCTTCATAGTTGAGCAGGAGGAAGCGAACGGCTTGGAGAGCTTTCAGAAGCATTAAAATATAGTGGGAGACCAAAAGACACCAGATTCCGTGCCCATATTTCCGACTCAGGAATTCTTCCTGGCTTGACGTGTGCGTCAGAAGCCTGGTCGCTGTGCAAGCATAGTATTGGATCACTCAGCGTTATTGAACGCGCAGTCGAAAGGACGATGCTTGGAGTATTCCGCGTCACAAAAGTAATGAAAGGAATCCAAATCTCAGACCTGCGTCAACGATCTAAAACGCTGTTCTATACACAAACTGTCGAAGATAAGATGGGCCGACACCCAATGCATATGAACGAAAGGCGATGGACATGAACTGTTAGTGTCTGGATTCCTCGGGATCTCAAACGTTCTGTTGGAAGACCACCTACGCAATGGTCAGAGTTCTTGGCAAAAACTCTAGGAGGAAGATATGATGCCCATCGAGTCTTTACATCGAACAGAACCCGCTAGACTACTCTTGCGCGCGACAAAGAAAACCTCTCTCGAGTCATTCGACGATCAACGGAACGACAGGTGATGCAAGTGATTCTTTCATTGATGGCAGAGGAAACAGCAGAGTGGTGAGTGATGCAGTCCATCAGGAAGCAAGGAGTTGGTTCGACCCCTTGCGACGCCATCCTCCAATGCACGTGAGAACACCTTAGCCCGGCTATCTCCAAGATTTCAAGAAAATCGATTTGACCTGCATTCTACGACATTGAAAAAGAAAGCGAAAAACGCAAGAAGCAGGAAAAATAACACTCGAAATTCTCGAAGACCATTGTGGACGGTGAATGCGAGGATAATGGGTCGAACGCCAGAAGTGCTGTGATCCGCACAGAAGTTGTGATGACCTATCGAGTAAAAAAGAAATGAAAATTCTTTCACTTATGAGCTAACACAAGGTTGATATGAAACTTTATTCGGCTAACGTTTCGGCATCTTTGCCTTTTTTATAACCAGAAGCCTTAGAATCAGTGAGCAATAGATTCGAATCAATCCGGCGCTGAGGAAGGAAACGTCACCGAAACGCTAGCTAAACAAGGTTTCTATCAACCTTGTGTTAGCCTATCAGTGAAAGAATACACATTGATTAGTCATGCTGAGGTTAAAGGAGAGTCGGTTTTTAAATATATTTTTAGTTTTTCAAAAATTCAATTAGTGACATTTTCCATGTGCAACGCAACAGTCGAGTTCAGAGGGGACCAGAGCTGGTAAAAGTGGACAACAACGAGGTGGTTTTTCCAATCAGACGTTCCGTTTTTATTGAATATTATTGGCTTTTTCCTTCCAATGATCTTTCAAAATCGCTGTTTCAACAGAGCTTTTCGATCTCGGTGGTCTTAGAGACTATGTTCCCGGTGCCAACAACAATTTTGGACTTCGCAAAGGACCAGGTATTACTATGTTACTAGACAAGTGAAATTAAATTTTACAGAATAAAAGCGTGATAGAGAAGAATAAAATACTTCAATGATCATACACTTCTCATGATCTCATTATTAATTTGACCTCGTTGGACACAGTTTAGATCGTGATCCTAGTTATGGTACCTATGGTAACGGTAGTCAAATCATAATTTTATACAAGTCTCTTATAACTATTTAGGAAGTGACCTGATCCCGAACAAATCTGGCACAAATTTCCTTACTCCATAGAAGTGGGGCGAGGGTTTTGGTGGACCTGGGGCAAAATCGAACCATTGTCTTGTGCTTGCTCAACGGCATCACTACAAGCGCGTTCCAGCACCTCTTTAATATACAATATAACATAATTTTTGCACGTAATTTCATATATAATACAATCTTGTCGACTAATACGGTAAAATCGGCGCGTGTGGCATAGACGTATGTGTCCTGCGATATATACATAAACCTTAATTAGATCTCGCGCCCAGGACTCACGATGCCTTCCATGCCTCCGGGGCGCCATGTTGATACCGGACTTGTTTGGGAGGATAGCTGACCTGATAAGCGGGCAGGCTACAGGTCACCGTAATTCACTCTGTGGGCATTCATTCACCATGCTTAATGAAGTTGAAGGTATGACATGGTACAAGCCTATGGAATTGATGGACTCTAAAAGCCATACTCTTTTTAATGTATTGAACGTCTACATCTTCACCTCAACAAATATTTTTCAATTTTTCCCATTTTCATCTCTTCACTCAAGAGTGGTTATTACAGGTTGCCTACCGTTTCTCTCCGAATTCATGCAAGTGGCATACGGTAACTGCCAAAAGGTGGCCGACGAAAAAGCATTCGATGCTTGGGGAGATGAATTGAAAAGCGCCATATATACAGGACAGATCGACCTTCTCAAAGCAAGGTTAATTTCTCATTTATATCTTCTGTGAAATAAGCGTTTCAGTCTTCTACATCTAGCATACTCACAAGACTGAATTCTATGTGGAAAGGAAACTGATGGCAAAATGTCGCAGTCAATGATTTTAGATCCTTTTCATTCCTCTTCATTTTATCCCCTTTTCCTTCGTTTGAGGTCACCACTTATCTCCTTTCACATTATCCGTTTATTTCGGCCCTTGGTGTAGTGGTCGTAGCCTCGTTATCCACAAATGGATGTCAATCCGACTTGTTCAAGCAACCTCCGCATCAAAACTACCGGTTCCCTCAACTACGATTTGGCCAAGTTGATAACTCTTGTTGCTTTCCAGCTTACCTCTGTGTGATTACTATTCACCACCTTAATATTTCCAATGTCATTATGTTCCAAGATCAACATTCTCCAATCTTTCGCAACGTTTTCATACCGGGACCTCTTCCAACTCGTTGATGTTTCATTGATCTGGTTGGCGCATCCACTACACCACCTATGTCCACGCGCGTACTGGACGATATCTGACAATGTTTCCTTGAATTTACGTCTGCGAACAAAATGAGTAGAATAAAATAATTTGAAGAGTTTTGACCCTACATGGACTTACATGGACCAATACACATGCGTTGTTTCGGTTGAAGTCAAGGAGGTGGAGGTATGGAAAATTCCCTTGGGAACTCGTTCATTACTAAGGAAAACCACTTGTCCTCCTGTTACGTCGCACTGAAATCGTTCTCAAAGTCAAAGAAAGCACTCAGACGACTTATTTTCCTTTTATTATACTCTTCACTTTGATGGAGACCGTACGAGTTTCATCTGTGGTGTTGCTTTTCCTGACTAGTTCTTATTGGTAGCGCTTGCTTCTCACAATATAGAAAACACATGCTTTCGAATCCTCATCTTACGCCATAGCTTTCTGTTACTGAAAAATTATAGTGTTATGCGAGACGCTCATCTAATCGTATAAAGTTTTTTCGCGTCATTATACTTATTAGTGGGAATTCAGGCTTAAGATAGCACATTATCGCGATTTGACGAACTTCGTCCTTCGCCTTCACTACTTCAACAATAATTCCGTCTACTTCTATGGATGGTACGGAACCCGTTGACCGGTTGCGGTCGTGTTCTATTCACCGTTTAGAAATATTTCATAACTACTGGGGACACGTCTGTTCACATCTGTTGACGAAAGGAGAATATTTGTTCTCCTATCATAGGGGCATCCTTGGTGTTTTTTCCTTTTCACTTAAGAAACTGGAGCCGACTGAGCGCCTACAGTATGTGACGACGACGAGCGAAATTTATTGGTGCCCTTCTGAGTCGTTCAATGATTACCGACGTTACAGAGTAATAGGTGAAGGCTCTCTTAGTTTAAGATCTCCCACTTTCGGTGCTGTATACTTATGTATATTTGTACGTATGTATACATAAGTTTGCATGTATTTACGAATATATGTGTGTATGTATGTAGGTATGTATGTATGTATGTATGTATGTATGTATGTATGTAAGTATGTATGTATGTATGCATGTATGCATGCATGCATGGGTCCATGCATGCGCTCTTGTACCACGATGGTCGGAGGTGCATTGCGATACACACGTGGTAGTTGGTTCGCTCCCGCGTCCCGGGTTCACCACGCCTTCAATCTCTCCGGGTTCGCCAAATTGGTACTAGACCAGCCTGGGAGGATAGCAGGGCTGACTCGATACATTGGTAGGCTGCCGCGAGAATAAGGCAGAATATGCATTTAATCACGTCCAACGATTCTTAATGAGATCGAATCCATTGGACATCCCTCACGGATGAATCAACGACGAACGCTTTATTCTTCCCAGGATCGACTTTCTATTAACCTCGGCATTGGAATATGAATGCGTCGTTTCCTTGTTCAGCAATCGCGAGGTTTTTAAACAGCATACATTTACTTCCATAAAAAAACACAATACAATACAACACTAGCTGACGTCTCGGCAGTATCGCCTTCTTCAGAGCCTGGAAGGGCGTACTGATATACAATCTACTAGGCCAAACGCTTCAATAACACTTACAAAAAGACGAAAAACTCTATGGTAATTACATGAT